CCTTATTGTTCTAATAAAATCGTGCGGGAATTCCACCCTCCCAAATTTTTTTGGGAAGTCATCTTAAATTTTCATTTATATTGCAATTCTTGTGTAAAGTCACTTTACATTTTCATTGATTCTTGTGTAAAGTAACTTTACATTTTCATTGATTCTTGTGGAAAGTAACTTTACATTTAATTTGTATTGCAGTTCTTGTGTAAGTTTACTTCACATGAATTTCATTTTTATTGCAATTCTTGTGTAAAGTTACTTGCGCGCAATTAAATTAACTTGTGCAAAATGGCTCGCAATTGCGCGCAAGTAAAATCCACTTGCGTTGGAAACCCTAACTTGACAATTTCATTTATATTGCAATTCTTGTGTAAATTTACTTTACAATTTCATTTATATTGCAGTTCTTGTGTAAAGTTACTTTACAGTTTCATTTATATTGCATTTCTTGTGTAAAGTTACTTTACAGTTTACAGTTCCGTTTTATTGCAGTTCTTGTAAAAAGTTACTTTACAGTTTACAGTTTCATTTATATTGCAGTTCTTGTGTAAAGTTACTTAAAAATTTTAATTTATATTGCAGTTCTTGTGTAATATTACTTCACAGTTTTATTTATATTGCAATTCTTCTGTAAAGTTACTTCACAGTTTCGTTTATATTGCAGTTCTTGTTTAAAATTACTTCACAGTTTCATTTATATTGCAATTCTTGAGTAAAGTTATTTCACAGTTTTATTTATATTGCAGTTCTTGTGCAAACTTACTTCACAGTTTCAATTATATTGCAGTTCTTGTGTAAACTTACTTCACAGTTTCATTTGTATTGCAATTCTTGTGGGAAGTTAATTTACAAATTTCATTGGTGAATGCATGAAATATTTTGCGGATTCATGCATAAGAAACAGAAAAGGAAAATATCAGAATTCCTCTTTTATTTAAAAAAACGACTTTATATATATTCAAAAATTGTTCGTTCAATAAAATCGTTTGTTCAGTAAAATTGTTCGTTCAATAAAATTCTTTGTTCGTTAAAATCATTCGTTCAGTAAAAAGTTCGTTCAATAAATTTGTTTGTTCAATAAAATCGTTCGTTCAGTAAAATCGTGTGTTAAATAAAATCATTCTTTCGGTAAATTTGTTCGTTTAATAAAATTGTTTGTTCAATAAAAATAGTTCGTTCAATAAAATCGTTCGTTCAGTAAAATCGTTTGCTCAAAAAATCGTGTGTTCAGTAAATTCGTTCATTCTTCAATTAAATCGTTCTTTCAGTTAAAAAAACCATCGTTTGTTCAACAGTTTGTTTGCAAAAAACGATGCCATTTCTAAATGTGACAGTTCCTTTAAAATACAAATCCAAGATTTAAACTTACTTCGGTCTCCTTATTGGCTATTAATAGAATGGAATACATGTTTATCAATTAGAACAAGAAAGTCAGGATTGGCCGGAAATATCATTTTCAATATTTTCCCGGAAGTTTAATCTCGCAGCAACTAACAAATTTAAAAAACTTGTAAATTGAAAACTTGTAAATTGAAAACTTGTATAACTCTTTTTTTAAACCAATTTTACCAATTTGAAATAAAAAATTTGGGGGGAAATTATATTTAACCTTTTTTTTGAAGATATTTTTCACAATTTTTTTTACAGATTTTCAGAAATTACTTTTTCCAAAATAATGTTTAAAAAAAAATTAACCCAACTTAATTTACCTTGGTCTACGTCTAAGTCTTGTTTCAAACTACGACCATTTGATCTAACAGAATTAATAGTTTGAAATATCATCGATCTACATCATTAGGTTGCAAATATATAAGGATTAAACAATTAGAGTTTGTGTCAAGCACTTCCAATATAATCTAATATAAATAAACAGTTGTCTCAAACTCTAATTTTTAAACAGTAAAATTTTAAGACGTTGAATCTGGCAAAATTTATATTTTGAAATATTGATGGTCATACGACTTGCATTGTTAATCGTTTTTTTAAAAAATCGAAAAAAACGATCAAAATCGATTTTGAAAAAGAACCACATTACTTTTAAACTTTGAAAAAATGAAAAACAGATTAGTCAGATTAGTTTATGAATCATGGATATATAATAGATTATGAATGTTGTCTTAAATGTCTTTGCTTTTATCAGGAGAAATAACCTGAATGTTTTCTGACCTCAGAGATTTTGATCTAAGAATTTTCCGACCAAAAAATCCATTTTGTTTTTAAAAATATATAAGTTAACGATGGGTCTTCAAAAATTAAAAATGATATACTTTCGTTAATGAAACGACGAAAAACGACCGCCTCGTTTTCCGATTTTTCTTCGTCGTTTTTAAAACGAAACGATACATCCATATCTACGACATCATGTTACAAATATGTAAGGATTAGAACTTCAGAGTATAAAAAGAGTTATCACCTTTTTTTACTTATAATTAATTATAAAAATTAGAAATTTGGTTTGACATTTTTTGTTGGACATTCTATCCTTATCGTGAAGGTTATGTTCCGGACAAAATATATTCTAAAAGGTCGAGAACCTTCGAGATACAAATAAAATTTTAGTCCAAAAAGTTATCAATATGTGGTGCCAAAATAATAATGTTACCGCTCATTTATTAAATATTTGTGTACTTGTCTTGATGCGAAGGCTATTTCTAGATATTTATAAGTTACTTTAAAAGCAGAATCAATTATAAATTTTAAATGTTATTTATTTTTAAATTTCAAGAAATGTTATTTTTAAAGAAAATCCGGAATCATAGAAACTTTTTAGCACCATGCATAAAATATTGCTAATTTTCCAAGAAGTGACCCCATGAGCAATAAAGCACGCAATAGTTATTAAACTCAAAGTTGATACGTTTGAGTTTATAAGCTTTGTAATAAAAATGTGTTTAAGTAATAAAAATGGAACATGTTTTACCATTTAGCAAAGATCAGGTATTTGCTAGCATAACATCAAAAAATTGAAATTCACCCCCCCCCTTCTTCCCCACGAGTCCATCAATGCGCCTTGCGCGTAAGCTTGATTAAATATTAAATATTCCCGCGCAGATTTATTCCAGTAATATCTGTAACGTGCGTAGAGAAGGCGCGCTCCACACCTCTAGGTTTAAAGAAGTGAAAACATTTTCTCAATTTATTTCATGAAAAACAAATATTTGCATAATTTAAAAAACTAAACTGCCCCTGAAGGGACTGATGTTGAAATATCAAGGAACATTCCAGTCAGAGCTAACCATGCTGATTCACAGCAGTAGTTTCTCTGAGGCTGTCTGATTTAAACCTTTGTTAACGTAGTTTCTCTGAGGCTGTCTAATATAAACCTTTGTTAACGTAGTTTCTCTACTTTGTTAACGTAGTTTCTCTGAGGCTGTCTAATATAAACCTTTGTTAACGTAGTTTCTCTGAGGCTGTCTAATATAAACCTTTGTTAACGTAGTTTCTCTGAGGCTGTCTGATTTAAACTTTGTTAACGTAGTTTCTCTGAGGCTGTCTAATATAAACCTTTGTTAACGTAGTTTCTCTGAGGCTGTTTAATATAAACCTTTGTTAACGTAGTTTCTCTGAGGCTGTCTGATTTAAACTTTGTTAACGTAGTTTCTCTGACGCTGTCTAATTTAAACCTTTGTAAACGTAGTTTTTCTGAGGCTGTCTGATTTAAACTTTGTTAACGTAGTTTCTCTGAGGCTGTCTATTTTAAACCTTTGTTAACGTAGTTTCTCTGAGGCTGTCTAATTGCAAAAGAAACTTCTTAGGCAGGCGTGTTACAGAAAATTATAAGTTAATTTGTTCTTTTATTTCTAATATTTTATGTGAACAAATTAAATGCATAGATGATGTATAGGAATAGATTAGACTAAGGATAGGGAGAAGATTTAAATAAGATAAGGAAATGAACAATAAACTTAGACAGAACAGAAAAGAAAAAAAATACAAAGAGGAATAAACATTAGAAAAAATAAATATACAAGAATTACAAAAGAGGAAGAAGATTAAAAAATGAATATCAAAGAAGAAAGAATAGAAAGTGAAAGCAAAACTAAGGTTAACGTATACAAGAATAAGATAGAAAAGAATACAACAATTACAAAACAGAAAGATAAAGAAAGAAACTAAAATGAGACAAGGAAAATACAAAATTAATAAATAAGAATAAGAAGAGACAAAAACAAAGAAGGATAAGCATAATTAAGATAAAATTAATACAAGATTTTCTAAATGTTCAATTGAAATAGAAGATAAGCACTTTGAAAGCCTACTTATATGAAAAAGAAAAGAAAAGAAAAAAAGAATGAAGAATGAAATTAATGAAAAAAGCTAAAAAAGATAAGTAATAAAAGAATTATTAAATAGTAAGAACAAAAAAAACAATTGAATAAGAAAAATAAATTTAAAAAAAGATACAAAAATAAAGAGAAACACAAACAAAAACAAAAAATAAGAGAAATAAGGGAGAAAAGACCGAAAATGTGTTAAGAACCAAAAATATCAAATAAGAAGCAAATTACAGAGAAAAAGTAGCATGAAGATAAGATAAAAATGAATATAAGATTAGAAAGAGGAAGAAAAGAAATAAAATGAGGTTCAAGGGAAATAAATATCAAATCAGAAAAATGTAGAAACACTTTAAAAAAAATTAACAAAATTAAGATGAATAAAATACAAAATTACTAATTAGGAAGAAACCGATGAGATAAGGTAATAAGATTCAAATCAAAAAGAAAAAGAGAAACAATTAGAAACAAAGAATAAACAAAATTAAGATTAAGAAATACCACAATTATTAAATAGGAAGAGTAAGAGGAAGCAGGATAATGATTAGAGAATAGGAATGCAGTTGTCCACAGAGTGCAACATCTGGTTAGTGGTTACAAATACAGTTTAATTATATAAAATGTTAAATACGGTAGAAAACACATATTTGTGGTTACTCCTTCACATTTTATCGTTTAAAAACGAAACAGCACAAAAAAACATCCTTTTTTACAATAATAAAACAAATTTTTCAGAAATCTGTAATTAAAAATGAAGTTGAGATCTCCTTTTATGCTGACTTGCATTTTTGCATTCGGGTAAACCTTTTTCAACTAATCCAAAATAAATCAGATTAAAAACGATTTTGTTAAAAAAAAATGTCAGTTTAAAGTCACACAATAAATATACTGAGTTTAATATATAATGCTAAAATCCAAAGCTGGAATCAAGTAAGAATTTCCCGCCAAAGAATCAGTTTTAGCAATTATCACTGTCCGCTGGCCCAAATATGTATGCTGAAAACAGTAAGGACAAAATTGATTCTTTGGAATGTGTGCCCCATTTTTGACCAATTTACGTTGTTTTCAAAAAAATGTCTTTTTACATCTTTTTCCCCTTTTTTCCCCTTCTTTCTCCTTTGTTTGAACCACCTGTCTTCATCTTTTAACGTTTTTCTTTTATTTCAAGACATTTGTTTTAATAAATATTCAAGAATTTAGTGGTGAGCTTCTTATTAATAAATGGAATAAAAGGATGAAAAAAGCTACATCAGAAAATTGGGGTTTTTTACTTAAGTTTTATAGATTATGACTTCGACTATTTCCAAGATATAATTTAGAGGAGCGAACTGTTTTTTTGAAGAGTCATGTCAAATTTTGCGGTTTTACACACCATAAGAGTGTTCACAGGAGTACAGGAAATATGCATTAAACTGCATCTTCTTGTAAACCACAGGGGATATTAGTTCCAAAACTAACACTTGACCCATTTCTAACACTGAGTGCTATAAATGGGCTCAATCTGCAAAGTTATCTGTTTCAAGAGTATATATCTTTAAATCCAAGACGAGTAGAACAAAATTACACCATATTATAAAAAATGGCTAAAACTATATATTGAAACAATAAATGTCAATTTTAAACTAATAATAAGGTATAAGAATTAGTATTTGATGATTTTTAATTTCCTTTTAGAACATATCCCTATTTTGAAATAATTACCGGATTTCAGCTAATGTTGCGTTTTCGGAATATATATCCTGGTTTTGAGACAATTACCGGAATTCATATCAATATAAATTTTCAAGTATTTACGCACTTATGAAACAAAACAAGATTATTTGATAAGGTAAAATAAAAACAAACTGAGCTGAAAACTTTACAATGGGATATCCTTAATCCTGATCGGATAATTAATCTGGAGATTAAAAATGAGTGGAGAACAAGCAATATTTAATCTCGAGATTAAGAAAAAGAGTGGATTAAGCCTTAATCCCGATATCCACCATACTAAAGTTTTCAGCTCTGGTCATTTAAAAATAATTACAGCATTTAGAAATCAAAATATTAATATCATTTGCTCTTACAATTTAGATTTAACTAGAAATGCGGGAAACTGTTTGTTTAAAATTCTGAAAAATAAATCATTGATATTCTATAATTAACAGATAAAATGTGTAAACTTAGATTCTAGAAATAATTCAGAAGTTAATTTAGTCTTCATAAGATAATTTTTGTTTTCAGTGATTTATTTTGTAAGTTTAGAAAGTGAGTTTAGTTTTGAATTGTGGATTATTCTCAAAAACTGGAAAATCTATTCTATCTCGAAAACGCGACAATGTTTCAAATTCAGAATATGTTTGAAAATAGAAAACCTGACATTGTCTTGAAAACGGTCAAGAGCTTTAATATAAAAAACTCATACTATAATTTCGATTAAAAAAAGTTTAAAATTGAGAATTGTTGTCCTCGTCATGTTTAATAAATGTTGGTTATAGTTTTTATTATCGCTTTTTGCTCTGTATATGTGCCGGGATCTCAAAAACCCAATCTTTCAATTTGTGTTAGAAATGGGCCAAATGTTAGTTTTGGAACTAATGTCCCCTGAACCATGACAATGCAATGTTTTGCATACTAATTTAAACCACGTTTATTTGTGTGAATTCAACTAACCAGAAGCTGGACAAACAATCCTGTAACTTTGAATTTAAAAAAAGAATATTTTAAACAAAATATTAATTTTGAGAAATTGTCGTAATAATTTCGATTGACTTTAAATTTTTCAAAAGATGGCACGATCAGGCCTTATAAAACCTTTCTGATCAAAAATTCAAAATTTATCGTCGTTTTTTATCTGGAAAGTGTTGAATTCAAACACTTTCCTTAATTTTATCTGTTGCATAAATGCACGTCAGTATTAAAAAGACATTGACAAATATGGTTTGTATCCAATAAACGTCAAAACGGCAGAACCGACCGAGCCCAAATTTTGTGTGGGACCTTGCATGAACCCAGAGAAGGTTTATGGATGCTAAAAATCACAAAAAAGTTTCCAAAAGCTTTTGTGAGATTTTAAAAAATGCCCGAAAAAAAATTTGAAAATCCGCGAACTTTTTTTGTTTGTTTTTTGTTTGTTTATACTGTACGAAGAGAAGATGCCCAAGGACTCACTTTTTCAATAAAGTTTATTCCATTAATTACACAAAACTATAATTCTATTTAGACTATTTAATGCTTAAAGGGAGTGGTCACATAATTTCTATTTTCCCTTTATACAAGAGTGGCATTACCTCCCTATGTTCTTTCTACTATACACATGTTCAAAGGGTACCGTTATGATCAGGGCATGTCATTATATTAATGAAATTATGTTTACTGTTTCTTTAACAGAATTGATAATAATTAAACATGCAAACATTATACCTGGTATAATGTATAGATCTAAATCTGAATGATTGATAGGTTGATCAATCCAGTAGTTGCAGTTCCAGTAGATCCTACAGAAACCAGTCTAGACATACTTGGTAAGGAACTCTCTCATTAAATTAGATCATGATAGCGGTCCCACCGTACTTAATCTAATATATTTGCTTGAAAAAATAATTTTATTAACTGGGAAATTAAAAAAATATTTTTTTTAAAAGAAAAACAGATCAATATATTGTTTAATTTTAGGTTCAACAATATCGGAGGAATCGTTGGTGCCTAAGGTATAAAGAAAAACTTGAATTTACCTTTATTATTTTTATGACTTATCAAATATAAAAGTACAATTTGTTAGTATTATTCTAAAATCTTGATAATTTTGTTTTAAATGCGCAATTTGCGATCAAGAGCTAAAGTGATTAGCTTTCAGCCTATACCCTCTTTCATTTTTCCTTTACAGTCCCTTTTATTTCCAAGGGACTTGACACAAATCTTAGATAGAAAACCTATTTCAAAATTGTATGCCCGAAAGGCAAAAAAAGTTTGGTAAAATCCTTTTGATTGTTTGAAAATCATGTAACACAAGATAAGTTAAAGAAAATCGGATTTTGCTAGATGCTATAGCATCTCATTTTTTTGGAAACTAAGTATGGAAATTAGATAATTATCAAAAAAATTAGCATTTTAGAAAAACAATAAATTCGATTATAATTAGCTAAAGAGTTATATTTTATTAATAAATATGTCTAGAGTCGAAAGAAGAGATCATTTGCTGGTATATTTGGAGGACCATTTACATCTCTTTTAGGTAAAGTTGAAACCGAGTTATGATTTTTTATGATGCACTTTTATATTTACCTTTTTTCAGCTGTTCAATTGTTCCCAATTCCTATTCTTCCAACAAACTTTATCGGAGTACAGGTACATTATTTTATGTACGCATTTAATAATCATGGGCATTAATCCTATCCCTGCTGGGGTACTTGAAAACCAGGATACGCTGGGGGGGGGGGGTCAATTTGACCCCCCCTCTAAATCCGTAAAGATAAATATAACAAATCATACATTTTTGGAAAGCTCTTAAAAAGGCCAATTCAGATTTGATAAAAAATGATTTTGCGAAAAAAATTCGCACAAATTAGCAAAAACATAGATTTTCTGATAATTACATATTTTGCAATGTTTTTGCACAAGTTTTAGATATTTCTATTACATCACTTGTCATACATTTTTGGAAAGCATACAGGCTAGGCATAATATTTCAAATATGTTAACAAATTTATCATTATCCAATAAAAGATTTAGCTTCTGCCAATTTTTTTTTCCAAAACAGTGCAAACATATTGCAGAAATAATTGAAACTAATTTGATTGTAATACTTTTCTTATAATATAGTAGAATGTAGAAACAGGTTTTGAAACTTTTTTGCAAAAACTGCGAAAAAACATTGCAAAAATGCGCAAAAAATGTTGCAAAACTGGTTCAAACAAATATGGTTGATTGAATTTTCTTAGCAGGTTTCCAAAAACATATAACAAACTATTGTTGAGTCAATAAAAGAACTATCAGCTGTAGCGCAAATTCTGTTGCAAAATTTGTGCAAAAATTTTGCGAAAAGAGTTCAAACTTTGATAGATTATTATTCTCCTTTATCTCAGCTTTACAAAAAGCTATAAATCATTAAGATTGGTTAATTTTTCTTAGTATTAAAAGCAAATTTAATTTAGGAGGTAATTTAGGCCTATTTCAGGCAGTAGGCCTGGACCCTCAGGCAGTCATCGAAATATTTCAATTTTTGCTAAAATATGTGAAAAATATATTCAGGAAAAGTCTAGAAATTTCAGCTCTAAAACCCTTATAGTTTTTAAGCAATATCAAAAAAAATCATAGGGGGGCGGGTCAATTTGAAACAGGAATAGGGTTAAGATGACGTAAATGCGTTCAATAACCTTATGATACTTCAGCTGACTGTTAGTCCTCCTGAGCCTGCTGCCAGCCGATCCAGCAGTTTTCAGCAGAAATCCGGGAAACCAATTTTGGTGCCATATCTGAGAAAATCTAGAAATGGCGGGAAAACTGTACACAATATAAATCGCTTCCAGATTACTCAACAGCAACCGTTGAGAAGATCATTTCCCCCTTACCCTCTCAGATATTATCAAACTAACTTTTTATAATTTTTTTGGCTCTGATTGTTTTTGGTCTATTTTTAAGGAGCCATATTTTACATAAGTTTATTTTTTAATTTTTGATGTTTTAGCAGTTATTCAGAATAAAAACCACATACCAAGGACTTCGAAATTCTGATGCTAAAAAAATCACTTAATTATGTTACTCAATTATTTTTTTGGATAAATGTTATACGTTCTAGTCATAGTAAAAATTTGCTGAAAAAATATGTTAAACTTTGATGAAATACATTCTTTTGTCAAATATATATAATAGCTTATGTCTTTTAAGTCCTCTATTAGGAAATATAGAAAAAATTTATGCAGTTGCTTTCCTTAACTGTAATTTTTTTTGGTGAATAAAAAAGTTAAATGGTACAAATACATACACAACATTCGAGTGCATTAAATTTTAAATATTTTTTTCTGACAGAAGTATCCCAAGTGATTTGGTCCTGTCTTATCTTGGAAACTATTTGCTTATATTTTTTTCGGCAAAAGTTTCTCTTAGTATAAATTCGTATTTGATATGAGGGGTCACTCAAAACCATAAACGCTTTTCCTTCATGGGAATGTTGCCACTTGGGAAATTTTCATTTGAGAATGTACATTTTGAAAGTTGCCACTTGGGAAATAAAAAGCAAATAGTTTCCAAGATAAGACAAGACCAAATTACTTATAGAAAAAAAATATTCCAAATTTAATGCACTCGAATGATATGTATGTATAATTAGACCATTTGATGTTTGGTAATTTCCCAAAGGTTTTTCTCAAGCGGCAACTTCCCAAGGGTATTTTCCCAAGTGGCAACTTCCAAAATGTGCAATTTCCCAAGTGGCAACTTCCCAAATGTACATTTTCCCAAAAGACAATTTCTCAAGTGGCAACTTCCCCATGAAGGAAAAGCTAAAACTTCATAAATGTACATTAAATTAAGAAATTGAGTATTTGCAATTTTGATTGTCCAATCCTAATTAAATGTCGTAGACCTTATAAGTCTAAACTATGAATTCTATCAGATCAAATAATCTAAGTTTGAAATATTCAAGGTTTGAAGAATCAGGTTGCAAAGATATAGGGGTTAAAAATCAGAGTTTGTGGTTATGACTTAATTTATTTTTAGCATTAACTATAAGGAGCATGTTCTAAACTTTTGTTTTTGGCAAAACTCATATCTATCTTTGGCATTTGTCATTTTCTTTTGTGCGCAATGCCCCGTAAAATTCCAAAACAGAGAGAGGGGGATTGAATTTTGTAGAACCAGAAAAATAATATCTGTGGGATGCCTGCGTAGAGACTGGCAGCTGGCGGGGTCTTAAATGTAAGACATGTGGCCGCAGCGCTCGGCCCCCTTGCCTGTCCTAGCCGCAGCGCTCAGCCCAGAAAGTGTCTTTACCTAACCTAACACTAAATAAGTACTACTTTAATTATTTTTCTGGATCTACAAAATTCAATCCCCCTCTCTCTGTTTTGGAATTTTACGGGGCATTGCACACAACAGAAAATGGCAAATCCCTCTATTTTTGTGTGAGAGCTTGCAACTTTCGGTTCACTGTGGACAGTGTATTTGTTTTAAGTATGTTATTTATTTATTTTTTCGTTCTGACAAATTGTGTAAATTTATATTATTATTATAATAATATTACTCTATAAACCTGGTCATTTATATTAACCATTTACAACTCTATACTTGGACAATTTATTGTGAAAATTATATAAGGTCACCTTCAAAGGATAAGACTGTAAAGACGACCTGAAACTCTAAAAATATGACGATCCCAAAGGTTAAATTAAGTCTTTTGACTTGAATAATGAATATGCTCTTTTTATGGCTTATTCTATGCGAGTAGGAAAAGAAAGGTTTCAGTTTCCGGTAATATTTTATATAATTAAACAGTCCATTCAAGAACTGACCCAGACCGAAATATATTTTCAATAAATGTGGAACTAACATCTACTTTTTTTTACTCTACAGAGGTAATTGTTCCATCACCATCACCGAATTTTAAAAATACAAATTCTGTACAGTTGTCTCTTATAAAGTCTCAACCTTTGTGGGTAATCATATAAATGAAGAGAAAGCAAATGAATTTTAAAGTTATTAATAATATATGATATTTTACATGAAATACAAACATTAATCCAAAGACAGGACAACTGAAGAATGGAAAACACATTTTTAAATGTAGTAATTACTGTATCAATATTTAATTGTGTACTTCTATATATAAATTTAGCTTGTCTGGCTGGGTGTTTGTTTTTATACAATAAACGTCAAAACGGCTGAACTGATCAGGCCCAAATTTTGTGTGGGACCTCATGTGGCCCTAGGGAAGGTTTATGAATGAACAACATTTTGAAAATTTGCCTCCATCAAAATTTGATTTTCATAAAATTTTTGGAAAATTTTGAAAAGCCTCAAAATTTTTGTTAAAATCCGTGAACTTTTATTGTTTTGTTTTACAATGTACGCAAGGAAAACATGTTCACAATAGAAATAGAAGAAATAAAAACCTAGTTCTTTAAAAAAATGTAAAAAAAATTAGGGATTCTTATTTTCATTTAGATAATACGGTTAACATAATATTTGCCATTACTACACTTGGTAAGTTGCATGGTATTATCTGAGAGACCTTCATGGAGTAGGGCATTACTACATAAGTAACACTTGCCAAAAGTAACACTTGTCACAAGTGACACTTGCAATTTGTAATACTAGCCAAAAGTAAGTCTTGTCATAAATAACACATTCCATAAGTAACACTTTCCTTAAGTAACACTTGTCAGAAGATTTACTGCACTTCTTGTTCTAACTTTCTAGAAGTCGGTCAGGTTTTCCAAATGAGCCGGAATTTTAAAGTTTGTTGATCAAAAATATCTAAATATTAAAGTTCTACAACAAATAAATTCGGATTAGAAAATTAAAGTTTGAATTGCGGATATAAGTCACTTTCGGAATATCTTTACAGATTTAAACCCTTGAAACATTTTATCTTTACAGATTTAAACCTTTGAAAGATTATATTGGGACTTTTTTGAGATTACAGAATAACGCAAAAAGAAACTTTTAGTACTTAAAAGTTTAACACTTCTGAATCAACAAAATAAATGCAAAACAGCTCGAATGAGTTAATCTTCTTTTCTTCTAGATTATGAAAATGTTCAATTGAAACTCTAAAAAAATTATGTTTCTTGAAAAATAACAAATATATTGAAAAGTTTACAAATACAAAGTTAACAAAGTTGAAAGCTAACTAAGTTTTCCAATTTTCAATTTTGTTGAATTGCTGTCTTTGTTAAACAATTTTTTCATGAAGTCTAACTTTAAGTAAACAAACATGTTTTGTAACAGAAATAGTTTTAAAAAGTAGAAATATTAAAATTTTAGTTAACTTTAAAACTTATTCGGATAAAAACTTTTGAAAAAATCAAATTATTTTTAGTTGTGCTCATATTTAATTACACAGCTATATTTATTGCTAGACAGAGAATTTATAAGGTTGCAGAAATTAGCTTTGAATAATCTTAAATGTTGATATCTTGATAACAGATAGAAATTTTTAACTTTATCAATTTATTTATTTTTAATTTTTTTATGAAACAAATTAATTGATACATGTATTTAATGAAGAATGCAGATACTCATTTTTCCAATCTTCTTGTTTCCTGGCTGTCCTGTTTTGCTCATTCAATTAGCTGCATACCCCCGCCCCCCCAGAAGGGTTAACATGCAGTTTCGAGAGCTGATCAAGCAATTTGTAGTATTTCAATATCAGCTCTTGAGTTTCTATATTTATTCCAGTTGTTTTTGATATCGGCCATCTATGCAGGTTTATTGCTGACATTGTTGTATAATGAGAACTTCCCTTTGTCATCTGCATTACATGTATCAGTGTCTTGCAGTAATTTAGAAAGAAATTAAAAGACCTCCTAGCCTTAACTGCATTCGGGTAGGTTCAAGGTGATTTGGGTGTACCCCTAGGAAAGGAACACCCATGAAACCAATGATGATCTCTCTCAGAAAGTTTTGATTAAGATTCCATAGCAAAGCAGTTTCTGAGTTCCACTATATCTGCTCGTGAAGTAGGATAAGGTTGGAATTTAGGAGGTAGGCGGATGAGGATGGGGGTGTAAGGGTAACAGGTATGAGATATACCATAGTCCTCACTTTTAACGTGTATTCCCACGTGGACAGATTTTTTAAAGAAAAAATAACCCGCTAAGCATGCTGTCCCATCGCTTTAAAACACGGGGAATGTGTCTTTTGCCTATCATTGTCAGAGGTCTTCCATGAGTAATCCAGTTTCCATTTTGAGAAGGGTGAAAAACCAGTTTATGGTATTTGATTTAAAGTCTATTGATGGCTTTAAAACCTGTATCAGCGTGTACTTCATCTCTGATGTTTTGAGTTTCTGTATTCCTTCTGTATTCATCTTTATTACTATATCTTTTTTCAGGATTAGTCACGCTTTCCACTCAGTTGTGGAGAGAAGTGACCTTGATATCTAGACTTCTATACAAGTACAACGCACATAGCGCCCTTTCTCTCAACAGGCTTAGAAAGCTCTGCTGACACCATTCCTCTGCACGGTTCGGATACACACTAAAAAAAGAAAGAAAAAAAATAAAAGGATTTTCTTTGATTTTAAAATTTTTCTTCTAAAAGTTTCATTTCAGGAATTTAAGATATCGGATGCTTGTAAAACCAGTGACAATGTGGTGACGGTTGCAAAGAACCGAGGTTGCAACTTTTGACCTCTAATCCACAGAACAAAGTTTTGCACAAAAATGCATAAGTATTTTATTTTGCAGAATTTCTATAACAAAATTAAACTCTGCAATTAGCGTATTTTCTAGAACATCTACGATTTACGCAAATTTTCATGCAAAATGCGGAAATTTTATCATAAAAAAGTGGAAATTACTAAAACCCTATATAACCACCCTGTATATATCTGAGTCATGTTGGAGGTTTCTTTAATAGTGTTATTTGCAACTTTGATATAGATAGTGCTTCTCTTTTGGAAAGGATAGATAGTTAATTTTAACAACAATTGTTTTCTGATTGTTGCTTATTAATCCATGAAACCAGTTTCTGAGGTCTCTCATAGTATAGTAAAGTAAACTGTGCGCAAATCCTTACATTTAATCAATTTGTATAACAGAAACACATAACAAAAAATCCCATGCAGAGTAGATTAAAGAAGGCTTTACTTCAAAAGATATGGTCAATAGACTTT